AATCCACGGATAATTTTTTAAATTTTATTTGTTACTTTTCGGTAGAAATCTGCATGGTATCGGTAGATCGGTAGGTTCCTTGACAAATCGGTAGACCTGGCATCTCTGGTGAGCACCATGATACAATGAATCATCAATAAGGTAGGATATTCATCGGTCGAAAACTCGATTTTCGTGCGCACATGACGTCACTGGTTAGCACTTCGGTAGAGTGAACAGCTGATCCCATTTAAAATGCATGTAACCTAGACAGATTTTCATTGAATTTAAAACGCAATAGTTCAAAAGTGGTAAGTTATATGAGGATGTGGTTTGTAGTGTTGTATAGCTCAATGCTTTCGTAATCGCGCTTAGGACCTGATTTGGGCTTATTGCGAAGAAAAGTACCCTAAAAAAGCCTTTACAAAATCTCTGATTTTCAGCGGTTTAGCTTGCTGTGTTGCCAGAGTGTCATTTGTAAAATCGGGTAGAGCCAAACGAAACAATTAAATCATTAAATCATGGGGTGAATGCGTTTGGGCGTATTTGGGAATCTTGTAGACAAACCACTGAGCATTTTGCGTTTGGTAGTTGGAAAGTTTACTGTAGAAAGTGTGCAAGCTATGGGAGAATGCTTGTTGTCGTGCGGATACGAATATGCCCTCAGCATTTCAAAAATGATGATTATGAGGGGAATGTCCAATTCCAACTTTTGGGGTACTTGCCAAAAGCAAACCCTAAACTTTATTACACATCTGGCAACTATGCTAGCCTACAAAATAAATAAATTTTTGTTACTTTTCATTTTCAAGTTTAAAACTTGCTGCAGAGCATTTTGTAATTATAATAAAGATTTGTAAAAAACTAATTAAATGTGACAAAGACTACAGAAAAAGATCAAGATGCGCAGTGACTTCCACTGACGTCACGGAAATCGACGCAAGATCCTACCTTGAATTCATTGTATCATGAGCACAGACTACATACTATTGATCATGAGTGAGCACAGTCACAAAGGATATCTTTAAATATTTTTGACAGTTGACTATACCGTTTTCAATTTATGAATAAACTTTCGTCGATCGTTCTATGCTTAGATTCGGCGGAAATATAATTTTGTTGCTCCAACTGTCATCTACAATTAGGGCAGTGTTTTCAGCTTTTGCTGCAAAAGCTATTAAATAAACATGGTGACTTGAAAAGTAACAATTTTCTTTCTTGACTACCTGGCCACCCTGTGTAATGGGTATTAGAGAGCTTCTTGACACGCTATTCCAGCTTACATTATGGATGGATTCGTATTATGTGCTCATATACGGTCAATTAGTCTGAATAAAAAGTTGCAACAAAAAGGTCGTCGACTGACCAAATCAGCAAATAAACTTTTTTCAACCCTTCGATTCGGGTAGGTAGAATTATTTCTATTTTGAAGGTTTATTGGCGGATTTGATAAAATTATCAATTAATTATATAATTTATACTGCTTAATATTCACGTCGGTTACGTAATAAAACTCCGGAAATATATTTAAAGTAATATAATACAAATAGCACTTAAACTAAATTATGAAGTTATATTCATAAATTTTCTCATAAAAAAAATCATCCCTGAGGTTTGAAGGTGCCCACCACAACAGCATGATCCCTTTCGTAGGGCTCCAAAGTGATTTGCTCTTGCGGTTTTAGCTTGTCGGCCTGCATCTTTTTCACCTCCGAGGCAAACACCGCTTCAGGCTGTGCTGTCGAATCGATGCAACTGGCCTTAATCGAAATGATGAAATGACCGCCTGCTTTTAAGAAGTACTGAGCATTCATTGCAACAATTCGGCCCTGATCAGGCTGTGCCACATCGGCAAATATCGTGTCCACCATGCCTACCAACATTCGGTACTTTAAGGGATGTCGGGCGTCTTCAATGATAGGAATAACGTTCGTGCGCTTTTTGGCCATATTTATCAGATCTCGGCCTGATCGAGGAGAGAACTCGACAGCATATACAAGCCCCTCTGGACCCACAATGTCCGAGACGTGCGACACTGTCGTGCCGGACGCTGCTCCGATGTAAAGGACTTTGCTGCCGGGCGTGATGTGAGTGTGATCCACGCCACCCAAAATAGCAGCCGCCAATTTGCTCCTGAATGGATTCCACACACGGTACTCAACCTTTTCTCCGTCAGTCTCAACGGAAATCTTTTTTTCTCCATACACTTCAGACCCAGGGACATAATTCCGGGTCACAAGCGCATCTTCTTTGCCTCTGGCAATAAAAACCCCTTCGTGTCTGTGTGGTTCGACAACAACCTGAAAAACGTGTATGTTGTGTAAACGATTTTAACTCCAAATGTAAAAAAAAACATCGTAAATCATGACTTTTTCTTCGTTTGGCAGCGTTGAAATTTAAAAAATGAGAGCCAAACGAAACCGTTTGTAAATATTAGTTTACCGTTTTGCCTCCTCTGAAGCCACCACCTCCCCGTCCTCCACCGCCTCCTCCTCGTCCTCTGCCGCCTCCGCGACCTCCAAAACCACCACGACCTAAAAAAAACASGAATGTAASTKTGATTCATTTTAAATTACATAAAACATTTACACCATACACAAGGTGTAGTGTAACTTATGAAAGAAATTGATTCACATGTTTGCTAGCTGGACTTAATAAACTTACCTCCTCCTCGATCTCCACCGCCTCCACGTCCACCACGACCGCCACGGCCTCCAAAGCCTCCTCTGCCGCCTCCACGGCCACCAAACCCTCCACCACCGCCGCCGCCACGGCCACCAAATCCTCCTCCTCCTCCTCCTCGCCCTCCAAATCCGCCGCCTCTACCTCCACGCGAAAATCCTAAAATGTTCGTTAGAATTTAAAACAATACCACCACTGTGCGACAAAATGGAGCCCTGATATGGGAAATGAGACACCGGTAAGTGCCTTCGGCAGGTAAATAAACGAACGCAAAACAAATAATTTGATTTGCTAACTATTTAGCAAGCACTTACCTGATTTTTCCATAATTTCACTAATAACGCAGGCACTTAAATTACACACAAAACAAATTCAAACCACCACGTGCGGCCTAACAGGAACACCGAGAAACAAGCGTGGTTAACCTCCAACCAAACAGTTATGTGAATGCTGTGATGTGAATGATGTGCACTAGCGTTTAGCGGTAGCCCAGATCTTTTGCATGCGCGGGTTGTGGCAACTATGGCTCAGGTGAATGGCGCGTAGTTTGAAAATCTACATTCAGCTCCCTGAAGTATTTTTGTACAACAAATTGCAGGAGTATATTTAAATAGGTTTAGCTTTCCTAAATAGCAGTGGTATTTAGCAATAATTATTGCCTCTTACTTTATTCATAAAAAGCTGCAAAATGTTTTAAATCTTTCTTAATTTTTCTTTTCTATTTCAAATTATTAACACATTTTGGGAATTGTTACAGAGACACTTTGATTTATAAAAATACTTCACGGCCCTAAATGTAGATTTTTAAACTGCGCGTTATTCACCGGAGCCACAGTTACCCGCCATGCAACCGGCGCATGCAAAATATCTGGGCTACTTCTAGACAAGCGTTACGTACACCCGACCTTGTACCGCATACAACGAAACAGACAAAGACAATGCTATACCTAGCAAGTGCTAATCAAACAAAGCAAAATAGTGACAGTATTGAATTCCGTGCCGTGTTGCCGGAGGGAGTCTCTTTGCCTGAACTTGTAATGAGAAATTCGGTCTCAATTCAGAGAGAAATTCAGACTTTATCAAGAGACCAATCTCTGACATTCTGTATCCGAGACATTTGAAACTGTCACGTGTACCTCACATTAAGATATAAAACAAATGTATTTTCCCGCATGTCGTGAGCAACGTCACAGATGCCACAGACCGTGTTCAAACTTTTTCAGAAAGCATGCATTTCCAAAATTAATATTTGGCATAATTGAATCGTAAATGATGCATATCAGATGGGCATTTATATTTGCGCCCTTATTCATTTAAAATAATGTTCGTTTATTCAAGTGACATGAGTGGTGCTAAGACAAAGCAATTTTTGTAACAGTGCATTTTTTGTGCGTATGCGTTCGTACACGCTCAGTCTGTTCGGACTTTTATTATTTAAATTTTTATTTAGTGGACTTGAACGTTTCATAAACCTTTATGAATTGATAATAAAAAATTACCCGTTTTTGACTGTGGCTCACAAAAGTGCGAACATTCACTGAATATTGCAAAGTAAAAATTGAGCCAATCAAAAAATCTATGGCATCTTTTGGCACACCGAGAGCAGATTCTTTATTGCAAAATAGAATTTTCTCAATAACCGTATATAATTGTGCAGATTTTTAGCAGCAAAGTTTGCCTTAGCTCCGTGTGCTTCTACAGATGGCAGTAGAAGTTTTGGACGCATGATAAAGCGCAGTACAAACCGCATTAGGTACAAACACTTTGAATTGCGCCATTTCTTTCTGCGAATTAAATTTTGCTGATTCCAATTACCTTTTTCCGGGTAACAAGCAAATGGTCCAATTGCGCGTTCTACGCGAAACACGCAAAAAGTGCTAATGGCAAAGTGAACGCATTGGAGCGCTTTGGATCATCCGATGGACTGCATGGCCGTTTCTCAAACTTTCTGAAAAGACAGAAAATGTTGATTGAAAAAGTGAAATAAAAGGGGGGAAGTTCCGGCAAAAAAAATGAGCGCCGCGACGCCTGCGTCGCCCCAACCCCCAATTCGACGTATGCCGTGCGAGTCGACGAGCGTCGCCACCGGTCCAGGCGGCCATGTCCGTCGTTCGATTTTTGGACGCAGCGGCTCGGCGTCGCGACGACGGGCCATTTTTTCGATTTTTCCCACGTTGATGCCGACCCAACCATTGTGAAACACGGGAAAATGGTCAGGATGGCCGGGATGGAGGATCACGAAAGGAAAATCGTCGTCGAGTTTGTACATCTATTGGAAAAGTCCAAACAGTTGTTCAATGGACTGCGGTAAGTCGGCTTGTTACCCCCTTAATAGGAGCTCACTATACCGCTTGGGGTCTGCCGGATTAAATCGATTGCGCGAAAAAGTGCCTGCATGTTGATGGTGCCAAACGGGGTTGTTTATGCCACCGCCAGTTTAAATTCGGGCCTCAATTAAACGATTTTTACTTTTCCTCTTCATGCAGATTCATGCAAAAATCCGCATGTGCTTCTCTCGGTGTAGTAGTAGTGGAAAACTGCTTTCGAATAGAAATTTAAGTGATTTTAAAGGGGTTGTTTTTTGCGCCAATTAGGGATCTGCCTCAGTATGGCCATAAACAATGGCAGGCTTACTTCGGAAGGACTTTCGACATTTACACGAAGCTCTGGAAGTTTCAGCAACAACATCGGCAAATCTTAGATACCAAGTACGGACTGAAGCGGTGGCAAATTGGGGAAATCGCCTCAAAGATCGGCCAACTTTACTATCACTATTAGTAAGCCCACGGCCTCATTTCGGTAGCATTAATAATAAAATGTTTATGCAGTTTGCGGACTAGCGAAACCAATTACCTGAATGAAGCCTTCTCGTTCTATGCCGCTATTCGTGGGCGCGCGTACTACTCAAGGGCAGCGAAAGAAGATCGGTAAGTA